TACACCAGGTGATCACTATTATTTATAATTTGTTTATTTACTCAATATATTATTAAGCATAGGAAATTTAAAGAAAATGAATTCGATAATGATGTGTATATGCCATAAATAAGTTCTATTACAATGTACTTGTACTTTGACAAAATGTGCATTATTTATTCAATTACTTGTCTTGTAGCAATTTGCAAGAGGTGCTCAATGGAGCATAAGAAGAATGTTTCTCCCTCTTACAATAAGTTCAATGAATAACAACCATTTGATGTTTTTAAAGAAAAAAAATACCAAGATAATATCATTACCCATTACAACATATATGTTCTGCATTAAAATGTTTTTAAGTTCCTTTTATGTAGAATTGTGTTATAGTTGTCCTGTTTGTTTTGAAATATTAGGCCAAAAAAAATAATAGTCTTGTTTCCTGCTACCCGACCTACCCTATATTTTTGCACCCGATCCTAAAGTTTTTTTTAAGTTTTGGAAGAAAAAAAATTGGGAATTTCCAGAATTTCATCATTCTGTCACCATAATTGGCTTTCATGTTTACACAAAACAAGCATTTCATGAAATTCTTGTTTTAAATATGGACTTTCATAAAATACCACTTGAGTTTTGCATAAAAAGACATGAAATTTAATTTTAAAAGACAATATTGACCTGTGACATGTCTAATTTTATCTTGTATTAGTTCATATCCAAAAAACACTGTCGGAAAAAAATAAAAATAAAAAATAAAATAATTTTCCTACCTACATGTACCTACCCTATTAATTTCAGGCTGGTAGCAGGAAACAAGACTATTATTTTTTTGGCCTTATAAAGTGACATGCTGAAACATTTCCAGTTAAATTATGATATACTAGATATGAGCTATTTTAACAATGTTTATTATGATTTGCAATACGTCAAAACATAGCAATTTGTTCGTGACCTCATATCTGCCCTATTTGAAAGAGTCCAAAGATAGATTTTTTATATTTTCCTAATTATGGTCTGTACTTACAGGTATAATTACAATAAAACAAATTGCAGTGTTTACAGAATCTTTAAAAATACTTTGAAAGTTCATAAATATTTGAATTTTTTGGAAATGTGAGTTTTGGAAGATTTGTGACCTTTTTGTACTTAAACTGGATAAGTACTGAATAAATTTTACTGTCCTGACTGATACTCTAGGCAACATACTTTTATGCCTATGAATTAATTTCAATGCATGAAATGTCATAATTTGTTGACACTTCCTCAAATACGTCTAGATTCCATGATTTTAAGCTCCTAGTTTGACTACATGTTCTATTTTTAGTAACATGCCTCTAAGTCATGAACTAAGGCATATATGTGGCAAATTTAATGGTATATCAATACTATATTGCACACAAAAATTGATATCAATACATAAACCCTGCTTGTGGACTGTTTTGCATGGTTTTCTCCGAGACGCTCACTTAATTTATACACTTGAAAATCGCTAACATCAATATTCAGCATTTTTTTTTAAACAAATGGATTTAAACAAATGCATTCAAAATTATGATATTTCAATTTTTTCGAATAACCGATAAAAAAATTTTGATTACCATCCATCCCACCAAGTGACCAGTTAACTGGTTAACGGTTGGAAATTTCCATCCCTAGGATTTATTTCCATAACTTTCTTTTTTTTTTCTAAAAAGTCTAGATCTGATGTGCTCTTCTGGACATTTCTGACTCTTCTTAACATTTTATACGATATCAATAAATCATGAATCGATTAACAGCAAATTCTAGTTTTAAAGTGTCGTATTTTCAAACAAAATACCAAGGAGCAGCAGACAGACAGACAGACAGACATTCTTTATTTCCTCTATAGTATAGAGATTGGTTCTATCATATTGAAAAACATTTAAGGTCAACAGTGCATAAATTAATAATATATGTACAGGTGCAGTGAAGACAAAAAAAAAAGTTCACCTTTTTTTCACATTGAAATTTCAAAGAGTTTTTATCTTTAACTATAAAAGATTTTTCATATCCTTCAGCATTCCTGTTATGCCGGTAGAAACCGACAATATAAATCTGATGCTATCAAACAAAAATCCAAAACCAATAAACAGAATTATGTATCTTAGTATAGTCTACTTGTGTGCCACATTATATTAAAATCAGACCAAAACTGTAAGAGGAGTAGCATTTTTGAAAGTATTTCACAGAAATTTCTATTTTTAGTAACCATGGCAATATCATTCATCGAAATCAAAAACTGATACATAGAATTATGTTTCTTAGATTCTACTTGCGTGCCAAGTTATATTAAATTCAGACCAAAACTGTAGGAGGAGTAGCATTTTAAAAGTATTTCACAGAGAATTCATAATTTTAGTAACCATGGGAACACCATTCAATCGAAATCAAAAACTGATAAACAGAATTATGTTTCTTAGTTTAGACTACTTGTTGTCAAGTTATATTGAAATCAGAAAAAAAACTGTAGGAGGAGTAGCATTTTGAAAGTATTTCACAGAGAATTTATATTTTTAGTAACCATGGCAACACCATTCATTGAAAATCAAAAACCAATATAAAAAATTATGTATCTTAGTGTAGTCTACATGTATGGTAAGTTATATTGAAATTTGACCAAAACTGTAGGAGGAGTAGCATTTTGAAAAATTGTATACAGAGAGACAGACAGACTGGCAGACACTTCACTTTTGCATAAGCTCTTCTGGTCTCTGACCAGTAGAGCTTAAAACCTTTTTCGTGGTGGTGGGGTCCACAATTAATAACTGCAAATTCCTAGGGGGGGGGGGGGGGGGTCTGGACCCTAACCCCTCTCTAGATCTGCATATGAAATCACACAGACTTTTCATGTAGGCATATTTCATGAAATGTGCTAATACTTCATGAAAATTATACCTACATGCAAGCTCTGTAGCCTCATTTTGGTGACACTTTAGTGTGATTTTTTCTCTTTAAATTTCTAAGCATGAAACGTATACATGAAATTTGACATTCAAATCAATTTCATTGTTGGCTAAATAGAAAAGCACAGCAAATGTAACAAGAAGTCTGTGAGCCAATGCTCACTAGTAATACCCCTGCTTTGATATGAATATAAACTCTCATGTGAATACTGTAGATCACCTTTTATTTTTGAAAACTTAATTTTTGCGTAATTATGCGAGACTGCCTGCTCGCAAAAATTTAATTCACGCAAAAAGATTATATAGAACAATAACCAGAGTTCGTGAAAATTACGTCTCGCTCATAAAAACCAAATGCCCATCTCGCAAAATTAAAGTGTTGCGAAAATTTGGTGATCTACAGTATATTGGAATGGACAGACGCAGGGATAAACAGGAAGTTGACATCCAATTCATTCAAAAATGAATCCTACCATATGGCACGAGAAAAAAAGAGCGTGCTAAAATTTCAAGCATCTGTGATAAGTAGTTGCTGAGAGAACTGTGACGTAATTTGGTACACACAGATGCAAGGATTAACAGGAAGTTGACATCAGATTTGTACAAAAATGAATCCCACCATATGACATGTCTTAAGACAAAGAGTATGCTAAAATTTCAAGCATCTGCAAAGAGTACCAGTAGCCAATGAGAAAAAATGCGACAAAAATTTGTTAAGGACAGACAGACAAAGAACACAGACAGACACATAAGGGTAAAACAGTATACCCCCCTCTCCTTTGGAGTGGGGGTATAAATATTAGATAATGTTCTACATGTACATATACACTGTACATATAATACCAAAACTTCTCCTCTGCTTTCAAGGGCTTGGAACCTTCTGCTTGAAAAAACATGCTAAACATGTTAATCCAAGCAGGCAGCATTAAAAGTTTTGTGCTATTTTGGTTTTGTTCCTTTTTTCTGTTTTTTTTTTTTTTTTTCTTTTTTTTTTTTTTTTTTTTTTTTTTTGTTTCTTTTTTTGTTTTTTTTTTGTTGTTTTTTTTTTTTTTTAATTATTTTTATCATTTTTTTCTGTGTACTTCTGATTTTGTTTTGTTTTTTTCTGTTTTTTTTTTTTTTTTTGGTTTGTTTGTTTGTTTTTTGTTTCTTGTTGTTTTTTTTTTCATTTTTTGCACAAAACTTGCCAATGATTCAGAAAATTTAACATTTACAAATCACGATGTAGCATTTACAAATCACAGTACAACATTTACAAATCACAATGCATGTATAACATTTTCAAATTGAAATCTAACATTACTGTACAAATCACAATTTAACATTTTCTTCAAAATTTATCAATTACTCTCACTGCGTATTAAGTCTTCACATTTCAATTACTCAATGAATTAACATTTAGTGTCAGCTTAACAATTATTATTACAATAGCTAACATGTGTACATTCTAGGAACACTTCTGTAATTTAATATTTTTCATTATCTGCAATATATATATATATAATGTTTAATTTTAGATAAACTAAAAACAAAGAGCATGAAAGACAAGGCAGCCTACAACTAGTCACATTTTCAACCTCTCCTCCCCGGGCCAGCCTGGCTACCGTAGCGGTCAAGGAACTTGAAGTTCCAACCAGTATTGCCCCAGGGTATTGTAAAGGTCTACTTATACAACTAGTCTTCAACTACTTCATCTATTTAACGATAACAATAACTAATGGTTATTTCAATGATATAAAAGAAAAAGAAAAAAATGGGGTCAGTGTGGGAGGAAGCCGGAGTACCCGGAGAAAACCCACGTGTCCGAATTGGGCAACCCCATACCCTTTCGTAATTCGGACACCCATTACAAAAATGTTTTTAAAAATGTTTCGATTTTAAAAACACATGAAAAACATAAATTAGCTTTGAAGATTTGGATATCTGCATTGTGTCTCGCTTAGAACTCCATATGATCTCAAGGATGTCCCTCTTAAATTTCTTCACTCAGGCTTTCTGCAAATGAATGAAACAAGATCTAGAGGTATTCATCAGATTTCAGTAAAAAATGAAGAAAAAAAAGTAAAACATAGTAATCAAAGAAACTCTCCATACCTGAAGGGTCCTTGTCCTTGGTTGTTGTTTTTTTCTTCATTTGTTGTTTAACATTCCTTTCGAGAATTTTTCACTCATATTGAGACGCAAAGCCTTGTCCTTGGTAATGTCAAGCAAACCAACGTGAATTCAGCTTAATTCCCTAGCTACTCGGTACATGCAGTCACCAAATCTTAAAACTTTAAAAAAAGAGAAATTGTTAATGCTACACATCAAATATAGGACAGAACAGAAGATAAGACAAAACTACATGCATTTGAGTAAAATAATTCATGAGGATATCCATACTCATTGTGCACTTCATCATAATCCTTATATAGTGTCAGAAATGTACGTTTGTACAGGTTCAGGTCTCACACAAGGAAATATTTTCAGTACATGTTACTATATAGCTTAATTAAATTAATCAATTAACTAAGACTCTCAGCAGATAATCAGTGAGGGAGTCTGTACATGTAAAAATGTTTTATTTTTTATTAGTTATCTTATTAAAATTATTTTAATTTATTATCTTGTTTTCTTACCTGTCTGATGAACCCAACAAAGGTTACAGAGGTGATTGGTAGAGATACGACAGGTGTCAAAACTCTCTGTTAATGACCAGACAGCATACCACATTGTATATTTGCCATTATTGATCTTAAACAGGGGAGACTACTCCTAAAATCAGAGAAATTGTAGTCAGAATGAGAGTTACCTGTTACTCTTTAGATCTCACACAAGGATTCCAAAATATTTTCACTATAGGTTACTTTATAGCATTAATTAAATTAATTAACTAGACTTTCAGCAGATAATCAATGAGGGAGTCTGTACATGTAAATATGTTTTATTTTTTATTAGTTATCTTATTAAAATTATTTTAATTTATTATCTCGTTTTCTTACCTGTCTGATGAACAAAACAAAGGTGTTTGGTAGAAATATGGGCGTCAAAACTCTCTGTTGATGACCAGACAGCATACCGCATTGTATATCTGCAGCCATTATTGATCTTAAACAGGGGAAACTACTCCTGAAATCAGAGAAATTGTAGTCAAAATGAGAGTTACATGTTACTCTTTAGGTCTCACACAAGGATTCCGAAATAATTTCACTATAGGTTACTATATAGCATTAATTAAATTAATTGATTAACTAGACTCTCAGCAGATAATCAATGAAAGAAAAAATAAAGATTAATGCTTAGACAAAAATTAGATGCCTTATGCGGCTTTTAAGAAAGAAAATTGACAGTAAACATACCTACCCCGAAATACACATGGGTTTCACATGTTGACAGACTACACACCATCCAGAAAGTTGTATCATGCGCACCTGAAAAAAGTTCCCTTTAATTCAGTGTAGAGTCCAACCTGTAGACTCCTACACAGAAACCATGTCAGATGACCCAAACTCAAAACTATACAAAGTCCTTCACCAAGAAAAGACTGCTTAATTGTGGAATCAGGCATTTAAAGAACACTTACAGAAGTTTCCAGACTGTGACGTTTCACTGGACTGGAATCAGCATGGGGAGGAAAAACGAGGCCTGGCATGGATCCTTTCCATCTAATATAAGAAGTGCCACTATATCAGTCACCGAGAAAAGCTATATGAAGTGGTGAGATGATCCAGAAGGGGACGTAGAGCTGCACAGCTAAGTGTGGCCATGGCTGTCAGTCACCTGGATACCAGTCTTACTACAGAGGGTATGCGTGATATGCTTCTTGGTGCAAATATTGAACCAGCATCAACCACCAACATGCAACAGACCTGCAACAAAGTGGGGAAAATTATCACAGATGTGAATAAAACTAGTATGAAGAAAATAAGGCAGAACATTCAAGAACTTCATGAAAAATATGGACTTCCTGATGCCCCTAACAGAGCAGAAGGAGATGCCCGATATAATAATGCCACTTTCAGTGCCATTGGAAAAACCCCATTCCAAGCTGCCACCCAAGTGACTAAATATACCATAAGTAAAAATGTAACTCAGAGGAAAAATGTTGTGACAGTGTTCTGTGGGAATAAACTATGCAAGAAAGGCGCACATCTGAGAAGCAAAGGAAAGGAAGTTACCTGCCCAGGACACGACAACTGCACTGCAACCATTCCTCCGGAGACCACCATTGGAGATGAGAAGAGATGGGACGCAAAATGTATTGGTGAGTTACAAAGTGATGACCATCCACTAGTCATTTCCCATTTCACCAGTGATGGAGATAGTGCCACTGCATCTGGTGCATCTGAAAAACAAGGACATGTCATTGAAAACTTAAAGACTTGCATCACTTCTTTAACTCTCAAAGAAAACAGACAGCTAATGCTCCATTCAGCAGTCACACATTTCTGAGAAAAACCAAAGCCATAAGAGAATCCATACAGAGAAGATTTGCCTTGGACCTATAGTTTCGATGCAGGACAGAGTACGAAAATTGCTACCAAACACTACTCCAGAGACTCACCTTTGATGAAGTGGGCTATGTCTACTGCTGTCGGTTCCATCGTAAGCTGCTACCAAGGACAGTGCAGAAAGTCCTGTCAACTTTATTCCTTTTCCTGACCTGGACTGAAAAGCAATAAGTGGAAATCTTCAGTGTTGCCTAGTGACTTTAAATTAAATATGACAGAAGAAGACAATTAAATGTTTGTAAAAAGGATGTATAAATTTGACTTTAGGACCAAGCAATCTTGATAGAATTAAATATCATACTTGTACACAAAAATCTGAATCTGTGAATAGGGCATATTTAAAATCAAATCCAAAATGTATTACAAGTTGTAGTAGTAGAAATTTTGAAAGTAGAATACATAAAGTTGTGCACTCACTGAATAAGGTCATGGAAACTCAACACTGGAACTCTGTGAATCTGTAGGGGCACCTGTTGCAAAAGGAAGTAGAGTGGTCCATCATCTATAGCAACAAAATAGGCAAAATTACTTAAAAATGAAACAAAAACCATTAAAACATAAATCTCAAAGAAAATACTTTAGATCTAAAAGATATCAGCTCATTGATAAAAAATCTAAAGACACTAGCTTACAGTAAATCACTAACAGATCCAAAATTAAAAAGGAAGTTGTAAGTGTGAAAATGGGGGGGGGGGGGGGGGTTGATGCTGATATTTAAAAGTATGAAATTTGTATTTAATACATAGTTTGTGAATTCTATTAATGTAATAATTGTTGCTATGTTTTATTATGCACTGATTCTATCAACTGTGTAAATGGGGAAAATGTGGATATGTAAATGATGTATAGTTGTATAATGTGACATTTTCTTATATGAGTCTATACATGTAAATATTTTTTATCATTTGTCTTATTAAAATTATTTTAATTTATTATCTTGTTTTCTTACCTGTCTGATGAACACAACAAAGGTTACAGAGGTGATTGGTAGAGATACGACAGGTGTCAAAACTCCCTGTTGATGACCAGACAGCATAATGCATTGTATATCTGCCATTATTGATCTTAAACAGGGGAGACTACTCCTGAAATCAGAGAAACTGTAGTCAAAATGAGAGTTACCTGTTACTCTTGTCTCACACAAGGAAATATTTTCACAACATGTTACTTTATAGCTTCAGTTAAATTAATTATCTAGACTCCCAGCAGATAATCAATGAAAGAGAAAATAAAGCTAGATTAAATTTGAGATCAGAAAAAAATATGCCTTATGCAGCTTTTAAGAAAAAAATTGACAGTTAACATACCTACCCTGAAATACACATGGGTTTCACATGTTGACAAACAGACCAACAGACTAAACACCATGAAGTTGCATCATGTGCACCTAAAAAAAGAGTTCCCTTTCATTCAGTGGGACAGTTCTGATAAAGATATGACATTCCTAGTACATGAGTTCAAAATTAATACTGTAGGCCTAAAATAAGATGCCAAAAAGTGAAAAAACAAAAAGAAATTGTCTTTCTATATATAGTACTATAATTGACTAAGTTCATGAGTATGAAATAAAAACTGAAGTGAACTGTTATGTCTCGCAATGTTATCACCCGCTTTTTATAGTACCTGATACGTATTAATATTATGCATGTATAACAATTTAAGTTATAATATAAGAACTATATATACTACCACAGAAGTAGTCAAACTTTGTTATCTGAAACTCGATGGGACAGAGAAAAAGTTCAAAATATCCAAGGATTTGAGATATTGAAGGTAAAATACATAAAGAATAAGTTGTTGGGACTTCCAAATCACTTTGACATATCCATGGTATTCAAGATCCATGGTGTTAGAGATAATGAAGTTTAACTGTATTATATATTAAAAAAAAATATGCAATTTTTCTAAATGTCCAACTACATGTTTTTGTTTTTTTTTATCTGAAAATATATTGATCAGTTTTCAATTAGAAAATGTATAAATTAGAGCTTTTATTTAACAATCATGTTTCCTAAAAATTTATTTTTATATTTCAGATTTCATAATTTTCCATATATATAATTATGTATAATATGATTGATTATAATGATAAACTCCGAAGAAATAACGTGGGCATATTTCCATTATATTTTGTGAATTTAGTGACATTTTCGTGAACATTTTCAATTACTTTACTGCTAATTTTTAGAACCTGAGGATTGGACTACCTTAAGAAGATTTTGGATGATGGCTGTGTCCTATACCTGATCAGTGTCAGTTATCTACAGTAATTGTGGTATATCTTTTGGGAGGGTCAACTGATCTATCAAGCTCTTCCATTTGTTTCCATCAAGTCCTGCAGCTGCTGTTTCCACATCTTGGAAGATCAGTATCCATCAAGCTCGTCTCTTCTAGTTGTTTCCACCAAGTCCAGTTGACTGCAGCTGCTGTTTCCACCAGATCCACATCCACCAGGCTCGTCTCTTCTAGTTGTTTCCACCAAGTCCAGTTGACTGCAGCTGCTGTTTCCACCAGATCCACATCCACCAGGCTCGTCTCTTCTAGTTGTTTCCACCAAGTCCAGTTGACTGCAGCTGTTGTTTCCACCAGATCCACATCCACCAGGCTCGTCTCTTCTAGTTGTTTCCACCAAGTCCAGTTGACTGCAGCTGTTGTTACCACCAGATCCACATCCACCAGGCTCGTCTCAAGTTATTTCCACCAAGTCCAGTTGACTGCAGCTGTTTTTTCCACCAGATCAACATCCATCAGTCTCCAAGTGTGCTACTGCTTCCACCAATTTGTGTCCGACTGTGTATGCAGCTGCTGTTCCACATCTCTATAGAAAAGAAGATTTTTGAAAGATGCCATTAAATTTTTACTAATTGTTAAATATCTCCCAATGAAAGAGGGCATAGCTTTTCCTTTTAATAAACTTGAATCTCCTTCATCCAAGGATGCTTTGTGGAAATTTCAGTTGAAATAGGCCAAGTTGTTCCATAGAAGAAGATAAAATTCTGAAAAAGTTTATGATGATTACAATGACAACAAAAGCAATGACAACGACAATGCACAAATTTTGATCAAAAAAGCTCACTTGAGCAAAGGCTCAGGTGAGGTAAAAACCTAACATATCCAATGTATTTTTTTAAAACTGAGGATTGGATGAATAAAAATTATTGGACATGCAGTCAATGAGATGTTTGACCACTTCTATGTTTTAATTGACATTTGTTAATCCTTAGTTGAGGCAGGATCATCCAACAACATTAGTCACACAGCTGTATTTGCATTTTTGTTAAACAAAATGGATTTTTGCTAGCCCTAAAGAATCAAATTGTTGCCTTTGTTTGGTCTGATAAAATGCCTGTTGCCCTTGAACCCAGTCAACAAAAGTGGGGGAAATAACTCATGGTGTGAATACATGTATATTGATTGAAATTATCCCTTGTTGTGACCCCACCCTACCCCTGGGGGAATTAACATTGCCTGAGGAAACTTCTGTTTTAAAATGATTAATAATTGATTTTCTGATCTTGAAAGGAAGTTTTTTAAAGATATTTCCTATGTATTCATTTGTAAAACTTTGATGGCCCATTGTGGCCCCACCCCACACCTGGGGGTCATTATTTAAACACATATGAATCTACACTACCTGAGGATGCTTCCATATGAATATGACTAATCGTTGCTTTGAGTGTTCTTGAAATATTTTGAAAGATTTTTCTGTGTTAAACTTTGATCGCCAATTGTGGCCCCACCCTACCACTTGGGTCATGATTTGAACAAATTTGAATCTACACTACCAGAGTATGCTTCCATACAAATATGACTAATCATGGCTTTCCTGTTTGTGAGAAGAAGATTTTTAAAGATTTTCCTATGTATTCCTATTTGAAACTTTGAGCACCTACTGTGGTCTCACCCTACCCCCG